TGTGTCAGATTTCCCTGTTTACGTGGTGATCTGCTCATGCCACCTGTGCCTGCACCTACCCAGGTACTCCATGGCATTCCCACAGATACTCACCCTTAGGTCCATGAAGGTCATCGAGAATCTGGCTCTTACTCACCAGAACCAGTTGGGCAACTCCTCAATGACTTAGATTTCTTCTGTATAAACCAGCTGGTTTTCCAGGCAGAAGATGCCTTGGTAAAATATCATCCTTTGTAGGCAGGATGGATGATTTCTTTGATGTAGAGCTTCTTCAACTGATGCCAGTCTTGCTCAGCTCTTTCCACACTCCGCTGAAGCGTACGCTACCCAAGCTTTTCTTGTAAATCTAATCCTTACCTCTCCTTTCCCTCCTTTACTGATTAGATTTCCCTTAATGACCCCCTGGTTTTGCGATCTTTGGAAGACTTCTGAGTCTGTGGTCAGATAGGCAATGTGTGATGAGCATCTCTCCTATAATGAAAGCCTGAGAGTTGGGCTTGTTCAGCCTGGAGGAGGCTCTGGGGCGACCTTATAGCACCTTCCAGTACCTGAAGGGCCTACAAGGAAGCTGGGGGGGACTTTTTACAAGGGCCTGTAGTGACAGGACAAGGGGTAACGGGTATAAATTGAAAGCAGGGAGGTTTAGGTTGGACATCAAGAAGAAATTCTTCCTGGACAGGGTGGTGAGGCACTGGAACAGGTTGCCCAGAGAAGCTGTGGATGCCCCATCCCTGGGAGTGTTCAAGGCCAGGCTGGATGAGGCTTTGAGCAACCTGGTCTAGTGGAAGGTGTCCCTGCCCATAGCAGGGGGGTTGGAACTAAATGGTCTTTCAGGTCCCTTCCAACCCAAACCATTCCATGATTCTATGATTCTATGAAACATGGCGCTTACATGTACAAAATAAAAGGATCTTGTAGCTTTGTTCAGAATTGGGAGGGAGGGCAAATACTGTAGACCAAAGGATACCGATGATTAAATCAATGGTAAACCACACAAGTACAACTAATATCTTTGAAAAACACCTGAAATCTGAGTATTCAGATTGCTGGCCTAAAAGAAAACTGTATCAAGCATCAGTCACGGAGCAAATGTGGGGAGATAGTGGTAAATTTCCTTAAAAAAAAACATTAAAAACATTAAAATAGGCACATCAAGAGGTGAAAGACTTCTGCTGAAGGAGTTCGTGTACTCTGCGTACAAAGACAGATGGAACATCATTTCTCATAAAGCACATAGATATTTTCTTCTCTTAAAGTGAACGGGTGTGACAGACATCCCTGGAATTATATGGACCCATAAAACCACTTAATTACTTGACATACTTGCTTACAGTTGCAACAAGACCTGTATTTGTGAGTCCACACTATGCCTGGCAATTAGTATTACTCTACTCTTTACAGTAACAGCTGTATGATGTATCATGAAAGATCCTGGCTGCAATGCACTGTACAGAGTCTTAGCAAAAGACTTCCACCTCCAGACAACTCACAAATGAAACGAAGAGGAAAAATACAACAAGCCAGTATAAAGAAAGAAACAGAGGAAAAGCAGGTAAAATTGTTAGCAGCAAGAGTGAGAAATTGGTTTTGTGTTCCTTTGGGAACATGCTCCTATGGAAATGACTAATAAAATGGTTTTGACTTGAATTCTGCCAGTCGCAGTTTACTAGGAGCAGGTTTCTCGGACTCTTATGTCCCAGAGAGTGCTCCTTCAGCAGGGTCCTCAGAGGTGCTCCTGTTGCATCCACATGGCATCATGCAAACCCACTGCTAAGAATGAGCAGTGGTCCTCACTGCTTAGTCAAACAGCAAGGTGTGACAATTCCCTTTCTTTCACTAGCTAAAGAGCCATGTCACTGGTCACAGCCCTCTGTAAAACACATTCAACTTCCTAGCTAGCAGGCAGCTTATTTTAAACTGGCTCAGCTCCTCAGTAAGACAGCCTAACCCTTCTATGTCTTCTCCTCTCAAAGAATTCACGGTTTCCACATGTAGGACTTCACTCCCTGCAGTGAAGTTCACTGTAGCCATATAGCTTTTGTTTCTTAAAAAGTTCTTGTCTTGGATCTGCCTTATCTTCTGGTTTAATCTCAGAAAGTATGAAACTTGGTATTAATAGAGAGATGCTCAGGAAGAGCACAGTATTGACCTAAGCAGCTTGATGAGCCTCAAACGTGATTCAAAGAACAAGGCTGCACCCTCAAGACACCTAGGGGGTTTGTAACACAAGTCACCCCTTCCTGTCCAAGCCACTTCATCACCACATAGAGAAAGACACAATGCATGCTTTCAGTTTCATCGTGGTTGCTTTATGCTATCCCAGGAGAGCAGCTGATCAGAAACTCTCACCTCAGCCACACTGAGAACACCTTGTGGCTAGAGGTCTAGTCACCTGTACCTTGCTTCTCACCAGAGGTTTGGGATGAGCAGCCTCAGCATGTTCCTGTGGTACCTTGTGCTGACAGCAGCATACAAGAATGTGGTTTTGGAATGACTCTCCTCCAGACCTAACAGTTAAGAGCATCACGCCCTCAAAAGCAGCAAATAGCAGCCTGTTATTCCTTCCAACTTGTGACCAACGTCACAACTTGGTCCTTCTTACTTTAGCTTCAGCAGCAGAACATTTTAACCAGTTTTACTTGGATTATAGGCGTGATGATCCTCTTGGGTATTCTGCTTCCCACCAGCTACCCAAACTCATAGAGGACCTTCTCTTACTGCGATATACATCATGATATGTAACAATAATTAGTCAGGATCAGCTGTATAGGCTCTATGGAGACTGGGACTGAACTGAGTGGGTGAAAAGCATCAACACTTGATGCTTGAAACCATGACGCTCCCTCTCCTGCCTACCGTGACTGTTTACTAAGACTTGAACATTTACGAAAGGCACAGCCAGAAAGCAGATCAGCTCTTCTAAATTCATGGATAATGAAAAAGATGCATTCAGTTGCCCTGCAGGTTATCCCACAGAAGGTTTATTCAAGTGAGCTCCTTCATAAGCAGAAAATCCCTGCAGCAAGGCCTTTCATGTGATTCAGTTAGTCGTGCACCTAACTTAAATGAGAATTTACTCTTGCATAACCTTAAATACAGTCAGCTGCCTAAGCAGGCTCTTTCTCACCACATCTTAGCCTACGTCAGTATCCGTTTGGTGATCTTGAGTAAGAGATAATAATCTTGCTCCTGAGCAGAAAGTAGGTAAGCTGTTTTCCGGCCATAGAAAAAAATAGCTAAGTGGAAGTTAGTGAGCTTACTAGGACTGTGAGCATACACAGAACCTGGTAACAGCCAGCTGACCTTTTCCTTGACAAAAGCTGGAGCTAGCAGGTGAGGAAAGGAAGAACAAAGTACAAAACGAGAACTGCAAATTCAGAATATTAAGAACACCCCAGTGGAGAGATCAGAACTTTTGATATGTGCTTTCAAGTCCTGGGGTTTCTCTGTGCGTTGGTACGTCATACGTGGCACAGGCAGAAAAATGGTTTTACAGGTTCAAGCAGCTGCTCTGGGTTTCTGAAGGCAGGGGCTGCTTCCTCAGCCGATTTCATCAGGAATAACCAACCAGGCTGGGAAACAAAGCTGCTTTCAACTTCTAGCACTTCACCTCTAGGCAAGGACTCGGTCTGCAAGTGTGACGGTGGATTAGAACAGAAACATCTCTCCTGATCACTCACTGCCTTTCTGCACATTTCTAAGGGCTTTGGAAAGAAACTTCTAGAGCAGTTACTGGGGGTAGGCAGCAAGGTGTTGGCGGGGGGGGTGGCTGCTGGTAGGCTCTGTGCGAAGAGGCTGGGACTGCCCCATCCCAGACATGACTGCTTCCAGCCAGCCCTGATGGATACACCGCAGGAAACTACTGAAGTGCCTCAGCAACATGGTGGTACCTCTGAGAAAATGTATTAAAGAAAGGGCAATACACCACAAGTGCCGTGGGGAAGTGAGAAACAGCAGTACAAACACCCAGGTCAGTGGATAAGGAGGGGGAAGAGGTGTTCCAGGCGCCAGCGCAGAGATTCCCCAGCAGCCCATGGAAAGGGCCACATTGGAGCGTGTGCATATTTCCTGAAAGAATTGCATCTCCTGGGGAGCCCATGCTGGAGTTGGTTTATCCTGAAGGACTGCTGCCCATAGGAAGGGCCCACACTGGAACAGAGGAACGGCATGAGGGGGAAGGAGCAGCAGAGAGGAACTGACCGCAATCCCCATCCCCTGAACCACGTGGGGCAGGGAAAAAGCTAGAAGAGTTCGGAATGAATAAGTGAAGTTGAACCTGGGAAAAAGGGTGGGTGAGGTGGGGGGAAGTTGGTTTAGATTTTGTCTTTGTTTCTCACCGCCCCACTCAACTCCTCTGTCCTTATCTCAACCCACACTCAATTCCTCTGTCCTTATCTCAACCCACGAGCTTTTCCGTCTTATTTTCTCCCCCTGTACTGCTCAGGAGGGGGGAGTGAGAGAATAGGTGGGAGGGCATCTGACAGCAGGTCAAGGTCAACCCACCACAGGCTGTTGCCCACACCTACTTAAAAGAAATTTAAGATGCACTTGTTCACACTAAGCATTTGCCAGAGCAGAATTTCAGATCAGCATCTGCCTAAAGCTTGAAACCTAGATCTTTTCTACTGTAGAGCTTTTGAGAGAATGATTTTGTACCTCTTTCTATTTCCAAAATCCAACACGGGTAAGGATTTCCAACACTCATTTACTGTCTATACATTATTTGAAGAAAAGAATAATTCTTATATGAAAAAATGTAACACTAAAAGTCTTACATACAAGGACAAAACACAGCAACAAAAGTCTGCTCACAAAATTAACATCCAGTCTGCTTGTCACCAATTAAGATGGAACTTCTCTAGGGTGACTTTTCAATTATGATATTTAAGTCTTCTTTTTTTCCTTTTTTTTTTTTTGGGTGGTTTTTTCCCTTCTTTTTTCTTAACCCCCCCATAAAGGAGACATGCATTAAAAATACTAATGTCTAAAACAACATTATTTAATTCTTAGTCAGGCACTTGAAGATTTGCCTTTGAGCATCTCTTGAAATCAGCAGGCAGAGGAATCCAGTTTCATGCAGGCACCAGTGACGGAGTTTCCGAAAGTGTCCTCCGAGCTGCGATCCGCAGACATTTGGGGCAGCCTCCAGACGTGAAGCATGCTTTGTGAAAGCATGTTTTGCACTCTGTTTACACATACAAGCAGTTTAACATTCAGGGGGAGAAAAATCTTTAAAAAAAAATCTAATCAACAGCTGTGTTGCTTGAAAGACTCTCTATCTAGTTCACCCACGTGTAAAAGTAAACAGAAGCAGTGCAAGGCCGGGGTAACCACCACTCTAAAAACTATGACTGAACATTTTGTTAGGATTCCCAAGATTTACAACGAATGGCGGCAAGATCTGATAGAGCAGCACTATAGCACTGTCCCAGACGCTCTCTCATGCGTAGAACCAAAAAACCAGCCTCCCCCTGCAGCCATAATTATGTTCAAGCAAGTCCCTGGTTTTACTCTCCGAATTCACTGATGCAAGACAACTGCTACAGGCTGTTTTTCAAAAATACATGCTATCCACGGCTTTCAAATGCACACACACAGGTTTTCAAATATACATGCTTTCATTGAAACAAGTTCTCTATGTTTTCTTAAAGTGAGTCTGAACACTTTTACACACCAACAACCACTCAAGGAAGAGAGAAAACGTTTGGTCCGGAACATACCTGTGCACCTTCTGCATTTGGCAATCTGATACGGAAAGAGGAGATCTGCGCTCTGACAGAATTCACAGATAAACCCCTTCGCTTGACAGAGCTACAAGGACAGGAGAAGAGTTGATTTATTTTTGATTTAAGAAAAAAAAACTATTTGGGAGTGTCAACTGGGATATGCCAAGCACTAGCAGCTGCAAGGACAAATAGCACTGGCTTTTCCTTACCTCGCAACCATCCACGTGGGAGGTGGAACTCTTCAGAATATCTTTAAGAAGGGGAAGTAACTGCCCGCGTTTGATCTTCACCAGATCATCCAGTGAGAAGAGATGCAGCTCCTCTGTCAGATGGCTGGGGACCTGTTCAAATTCTTTCAGTACACTGCAAAGAGAAAGAAAAAAACAAATCAAGTTCCAAAAAGTTGTTTTTCAAGTGTATTTGACAGCAAGTTCATACTAAATCCTACCTCCCCTCCCAGTCTGGGATCACATTAACAAAAAACAGAAGGTTTGAGATTTAGAATAAAATGTCTGCTTTAAACATTCATTCCTCAAGCATTGGGGTTGCCATGAAGAGTTATCCCAGCAATTCTTAAATAATATATAAAGGGCTCTCCCCTACCACAGGAACAGTGGTAATAGTATCTAATACAATAAGCTCAGGTTATTAACTTCTATTTTTTTGCCAAGAGAACTTTGAGGGGTTTTATCCTGCATAGGTCACTATTGGATGAACTATGCTTCTGCTGAGCGGGTGAACACTAGCGGGTGAACTTAGCTATTACTTTTAAAATATCAGGGATGCAGAAGGTACAGTGAGGATCCTAATGCTTATTTTTATAATGGAATTGCAGATAGTTGTCCAGAAGAGACACATTAAAATATGTTTATATTTCATTTTGATGAACAACATGTAGTTGATGTATAAAAGAAGTCTATGTCAAAGAGACCAGAACCTACTTTGAAAGCTTATTTTGCTTATGTCTGCTTTCAAAAAGGTCAGCAATTCTGCAGTGAAGTTTTTATCATTAACATGTCTACCTATTAGTTAGGCCCATAGTTTGGTAAGGTGAATAGCAAAAATCTTGCAGCAATAAGAAGGTCATGTTTTCGTATTTATCACTTCCGATTACTACTTTCATCTGAGTATGTTTATAAAATACACTGAATTGAGCATTATGCCATTTCTGGAAGAAATCTTTAAACCCTCAAGGAACATATTTGTTAACATTTTTTCAAAAGAACTATCATCTCAGAGATGTAAGTATCTTTGTCCTTTTAAGAACGAGTGAGAAGCTGAGACAGCAAGAAAAAAAATATACACCTAGCAAAAATCATTCAACATTTAAAACCAAATGTCTAAGTATGTTACAAGAAACAGAAAGCTACCACATAAAACCTGTTCTTCACTCAACATTTGCAGTGCAATAGAAGGAAGTTTCATTATCAGAATTTTCACTGATGATCATATTAACTCATTCAAAACTGCATTCAAGTGTCTCTAGAAAAGGCTCTATAAGCATCTCAGGTACATTTTAATAAGCTGTTTCTCATGCATGATCATGGCCCATACCTTTCACCAAACCTGCAGGTTTTCAACAGCTTTTTTAAATGAAAAAGCTGTTCTTGCATCTCCTAAAAGATGAAGGGGAAAAACAAAACAATGATTAAATGATAGGCAGTTGCATTTCTATATTCATAAATGAGGAACACCACTATCTGAGTCAGCAACCCTTGCCAGTGTATCAAGCTACACCTAAAAACAGGAACTTCACACCCAGCACAGAATTAAACAAATGAATTTTCTAATGCACAAAGGGCTGAGGAAGGCAAAGGTTACTTTTATTCACTGACCAGGGAAGCAATTCCTAACACTACAAATGGCTCCACGTCAGCACACCCAGATTCCAGATCCAAACCTGTGTGAGAACAGGAAAGTGCCTCCTCAGCCAAGAAGTGAGTGCATGCCAACTTACAATCTTCAGCAGAGCATCCTTCCTCAAGCTGTAGGAGGTACAATCCTGAGATGAGCCAAGAGTGTTTTGTCTAATGGCCCACAAAATTAAGGAATCATTCAAAACCTCCAGAGCTCTCCAGTACTCAATATCCCACCATGAACTAAAACTATAAACCAGTAAGGAAATGCCTCCCAAAGACAAGGGGGGAAATAAGACCCCTGGCATAGGTTGGAAATTCCTCCCTCGTCTCCCTTCATGAAGGAGAGAGAGGGCAAGTCCCAAAAGCAGCAACGGGACAAGTCTAAGTGCAGAAAAACCAACCCTGTCTCCTTCCCACATACACGGCATAGGACAACCTGCCCTGAGGAGTCTTCCCAAAAATCTCAGACCCACAAATTCCCAATAAAAAAAGGCCATACTTACCCTCACCCTGTCCATTTCTTTACTTTTCGTATAGAGGGCTTTGTTAACACACGACACGTTGAAAATTGGGTGCTGCCATATGCTGTCCAGAAGGTGTTTGGAGAAGTTGCATACGTAGTATTTCTTGAAGTCCCACTTCAGAAGTATTCTGGCAGGAATGGAAGACTGGGCATAGCTGTGGCAGCAGTCACAGAAGTATTTCCCCAGGTAGTCACAATACCGGAGTCTCCTGATATATTCTGCAGGTAGATAGCAATAAAACTGTGAATATTTATGGGATGGGTCTCTTGTCTGTATGTCTGTTCTGTATAAATAACTCAGATCTACTGGACTGAGGGGCAACGGTTTACTTCTAGTTTGTTTGTTAGGGGTGTGGGTGTGTTTTATTTTTAAACCGTGGGTTTTATTATTGTGATAAACACATGCAGAAGGTCTGTACTTTCCATTAGAAGAGAAAGCTTTCCACATTTCCACGTTTGCCAAATTGATTATATTTATCACCATGAGATCTTAGAGAAACTGTTGTTGCTTCACCCACAAAAAAAGACCCACAAGATAAAACACACAACAAAATACTTCCACCAAATGGAAAGACAAGCTGATCTTGGAGACATGTTTTTATAATACTTTTGTCATACAAAGAAGTCTGGGTTTTTTCCCCCCAGTTATCTCAGCACCTCAGACTTAACTCGAGTTAACGTGCCACCATGGATTGTTACTACTTTACAGGCCGTCGCAAACGCTGCTCTCTTGTGAGCAGACCCAGAAAAAGTCTTGAAAGCCACTTCAAATACTTCTTGGGTAAGAAATCCTGTTCAATCATCATGCTTAAGTCTCACAAATACTCTTCAAATACAAGCATGACTTTGTGATCGAGAAAAAAAAAGTTTAAAAAAAAAATCACAACCACACATTCCATAAGCTTACTTTTAAGACTTTTGGAAATGTGTACCTTGGCACAGAGAAAAATTTACCAAAAGAAACCATTAGAAAAATGTAAAAACAGCACTTTACAGCCTGGAGGCATGATTTTTAACAGCTTTTCTTGTTTGGTTGTTGACTGTTGTTAATTTTTACTGTGTATGTGAAGGACATCTATGAAGTATTGTATTCTGTCTGCAATAACGAATTACAGGCAGTAGTAGGATCCCACTTCCTGGTTTATTATTACAGGCAAATCCACAATGAGATTTTTCCTCCCAGCTCACATAGATGTACCACAATTGTAAAGTTATGTTGGTGAAGACTATCGCCTGATTACCAGTTATGGAGTAGGGTTTGGTTTTTTTTTTTCCTTTTTGGTAATACTTACTGCTTTCTATTGGGGTTCCACAACCAACACATGTAAAGTTTTGGGCAGCCACCACTGCATCTCTCCTGCATACAGAGACAAACAGTTATACCTTTCAGCATCCAAAACACAGTTTAGTTAACATTCTCCCAAAATGCACGACAGTTACTCTGGCACCAGTGAATATTTCCCAACTGGGAGCTAACTCCTGCTCCTCCACATGAAGGGGTTTTTGGAAGGAGATGCAGGTTATAATTTTAGTGGGAGTTCCTAAGCTATTGTGTGGAGAACGTAACATCAACTACCACTTCTGAAGAAGGCTTGTTGCAAGAATTTAAATTCTTCCTCATTTCTTAAGGCAGCGCCAATTAAAAAAATATCCACATCTGCAACTGAAAAAGCAAGTGGACCTGCAACTCCACAGGGAATTATCCAGTCTGTCTACTTTACACATTTAACAGCGCCTTATGCAGAGACAGATGATACTTTCCCCAAGCGTGGCCTGTTTTCTGCTCCCTTTCTGAAAACCTACTACCCATAAGATATCAGCAGGGAACCGGGGAAACTCTTACAAATATTCTCCAGGTAATCCCACAAGACAGAATTTTTAGGAGTCCAGCTAAGCATGCTGCCAGTGTAATACCAAACACTATGTGTATTATCGCATGTAAAAGTGCACGGGCCACATTAAATGGGACATGCCAACAGAGGAAAAAAAGATGCCATCGGCTTTCTAGTGAAGCTGGTGACAGACACCGCAAAGGTTTTCGACAAGTCCCCATGCTCTGCTAAACAACAATGCACAGATCCCTTAGACTTACTTGACTGAAGGGTGAATATTAAATATAATCTGCGATCTTGGTGGGGCCCAGCCAGAAGATCCTCTTAATCTGGATATCATCTTTATTTCTTCAGCCAGATTCAAACTGGACTCAAGCTCCCTTGGAATCTCTTCTTTCCGCACAGACTACGGGGAAAGACAAACTTGTGAATATGAACAGCCCATCAGCCGGGCATACGTCAAATGTCATGAAACATCTCCCTTTACACTCCAGGATTTTGAAGTTCAGTTTTCACCTGCATGAGGCATCCCCTCAGTTAAATATAAATTCCCTTGTATCATTTCCAGAAGAAAGTACATCCTGATTGTTCACAAATGCACATCTTAAATGAGCTGAAAATTGTTAGAGAGAAGAAATTTTCTAAAAATTCATCTAAAGAGAACTAATAAGCTGTAAGTACTCATCTGTATTTTTTTTTTTTTAAATTTAAATGCAGCTTCCCCATTCCCTAACAGTGGAGCAGCTGCAGTGAGACAATGATTAGTTGGGGAACCAAATAAAGAGGCCGCTGTTTTCGACTCAGACTCACTCTCTGCTTAGATGAGCTCGGGCAACCAGACAGCTGAACTGCAGAGTCTGTCTGCAGCCAGTGTTTTCTGAAAGCTCTGCACAACTGCTGGGCGGTTGCTTCAGCAGAATTGCTGCCTGGTTCAAAAGATGACCTGAAAATTAAGCAATACAGACAGTGAAAAATTGCACCATGTCATCAGCAGCTCCGCTGCCTATTCTGCATCCCCAAAAAGTTCTCTCTCACCATTTCATTCCTATGCCCTTGCTTTGATACACCCAGGCCCCACAGAGCTGCAGCTGCCACCCTCCAGCGAGACTCGGGGACCAGAGAAATGCTCTGCTAAGCCAAGCACCACAGACGTTTGCTGTCAAGCAGCATTCCTTCCCCTTCCTTGGGAGGACCAAATTTACCACTCCCACACCTTTCCCCACCCAAGTCAGGAGACTCATCAGAAAGCTGGTCCAGCAGAAAAGGTAGTGCCACAGGGCTATTACAGTAAGATAGACAGAATTACCTTTCATCTGGGGTGACAGACAGATTTTCAAGGTCTTCAACTTCTGTGGTAAAGGAGAAAATTTCATTAAGTCATCTAAGAAACAAAGCTTCTATTGCTCAGCACTGTTTTAAATCTGCCTTCTGTGTTACCACAGTGTCGCTTTCAGATGTATTTTACAGATGTATCTTTACAACACCCTTGCTGGATGTGGGAAATAACCTCAGCCCTGGCTGTAAAGCAGGCATAAGGAGCCTTATCTCCTCTGCCAATCTCAGACACCCACTGACGAAGAGTACTCCCCAACAGCTATGCATCACATCATCACCATCAGCCACCCTTCAAGAGCAGGAGAGGAGAGACCAAGTGCCTGCTAGCCCAGGTGCAGCCAGAAGGCACTAGACATAATCATATCCGGAACCAACAGAGTGCACATTAATTTTTTTGGGGACACTGGCAGATATTTGAAGACACTGATCACCAACATACCAGCTAAAGCTATAAGCAAGTTAGTAAGAGGTGAGATTAATGAAATTAAAGCACATACTTCACTATATTTACATCAAGAAAATATGCTTATGCAGACAAAACGTTCACATTGGGGCTAAAACTATTGTTACCACTCATACACATCAAAATAACTCTTGCTACTAGAAATGCAGTTTTGGGAGCTAATTCTTCATTCTTCGATTAGGGAAAAAATACGCTAATCTCTAAAACCAGAGGGAGTCATAAAAAAGGATTTGTTAACAGAAAAAAATAAGATTAAATGTTGCTCAGTGTTTCTGTACATATAAAAACTAGAAAGTAACCAAAGAAACTCAGGATGTCCTGAAGAGAACAGTAGCACTGGTGACTGTAAGGGGACAGTCTGCTCTAGTCCTGAAGCAGTAGGATGGTTGCCTAACCAACCTCTTTAATTAGGAAATGATTGTGTCCTAAATTCTCTCAAACAAAGTTGCTGTAGTTGGCTGAGGCTGTGCCAGTTTCACACTTTGCTCACCCACATTCACTGGGTCTAATCCTTAGGCATAATTTTATTCCCCCAAATGAGCAAATGTATTCTTTTTTAGAAAGGAAATCCTGCACTATTATGGTATTTCTGCATGTGTTTTACTATAGAATCATGCACACATTGCTCTTTTCTCATGTTGTTTCTCCTGCGATAACATCTACTAAGCACAGAAATTTTCCAAACAACACAATGGATTCAGCTACACAATAGAGCTGTTTCTGCAATTATAATTTTTAAAGTCTTACCAATAATTACATACTCATCTTCTGAGTCACTGTGGCAATGAAATCTGGTAACCTCATCATGTGATGGTAGAGGCACTGGGGAGCTGACAGGCAGCAGTGCACAGCCTGTCGAGAACAAAGAGAACACCAATTAAACTCTTCCAGAATTTGTAAAGCAACTGAAATTATATTTGTACTTTTCTTAGCTTACACGGCCTGTATTTACAGAGCTATTTTGTTTATTTTTATATGCACAGAGAAAGTCAATTCTTGGGAGTCTGTCATACAACGTGACCCTCAGTTTCTTAGGAAGAAATTTCTAGAAACCAAACTGAAAGGTTTTGTATTATCAGTGGTCTCTCCCCTTGTCACGTGCAAACACACCATACCTATCACTCCACAAGTTGTCATTTAGACTTTCAATTGAAGTTCCATCCCTAAGATTCCTATAACTCGGGAGATGAAAATCTACTTAAAAATGCATGTACTGACTCGAGCACTACAGTGCCAGGAACATTATTATCTTGCCTCAAACTATATGTGAATGAACACTCTGGGCAGTTTCATTCAAATCAATCGCATGGCCTGATTTGCATACTGCAGAAATAAGCACAGAAGGAAAGAGCCAGGCTCCAAATCCTGCAAAAAAAGGACTTAAGCAGGAAGAAAAACAGCTAATGACAGGCATGCTCTATGGAAAGTTGTGCTTGGCATATGGTACTTCAAACTTACTCTTTTTTTATGTTAAAAAAAAAAATGGAATTGATTCTAATAAATAAATCACAGATGTGAGCATTAAAAAGGAATAATTTGACCCACGGGTATAACACTGGCGCCATAATGATCCTCAGGGACCACAGCTCTCAAGAGACTCAAAGAAGGTAACAAACGTTTCGGTTCTAAGCAATGCCAAAATTAATTCAGTATTTTCTTCCATGAAAATAAACAGCAAAGGCTGTCGGAAAAGTCTTCATTATAGACCAAGTAACTTGCCTTCATAACCGCTGTCTGAAGAGGCAACAGAAGAATCAGACTTCTTCACCCCAGGATAAGAAGATAACTCTGAATCAGTGTGATAGCTGCCATCTGATCCACTCGTTTCCTCCACACTCCAGGATTCTGCTTGCTGGCTTAGGATATTACACTTCATTTTTTCTAGCGATGCAATAATCATATCTGCAACAAAAAAGTGCGCGTTTTCCTGGACACAGGATTGGAACACTCATTAGTACACAGCATATTTGACATTTACTTAAGATGAAATACATCATTTTTCCCTGTACTTTTCCAACGCAAGAAATTCAAATGTAAGGCTATCTTGCCTTTCATTTAAGCACCAAAGAAAAAAACAGCCCAAGGGCAATTCAGAGACAACATGTAAAAAGGTCACTACGCAGATTATTGTCTCACCTTTGATTAAAACATACCATTTACTTTTATCTTACCCATCTATTAGATAAAAAGAAACTTGATTACATGCCTATTTGATGAATATGCATGCATTTTAGGGAAGCAGTCTTCTAGTTGCACTGCATTATTTAGTATGCAAGTGTGAATCCATGTAACCTGTTTAATCGGATTTAATTTCACGTCAGTGTGTACAAGCAGTTTTGCATGCATGCTAACTTGCATGGGGCCAGAAGTGGCAGGTTTTGAAGGGACTATAGGTCTTCAGGCCGCAGGTAGTACAGAAGCTAGTAATATGCATCAAGAGTTACGGCAGCGAGGCAGGAAATAGGCATGGAGATAGCTTACACTGTCAACTCAGGGCTGAACAGAAAGTCTGGGATAAGGGTCAGTGTGAACCCATCTCCCCTGGGGTTCACGTTGCCTTAAACAGGTAGCAGTTTCAAAGCTTCATCACAGCATTTCCCCTCCAGACAACCCCTCCCCATGATATCCCGTACCACCTTGCCTGCCCAAGTCACTCATTCTCCAGGAAAAGGGATTTTGTAAAGCCACCTCCGGAATCACGATGACATCCAAACAAATCTGGGGCTTCCCGCCCCAATGTCACTGCTGTATCCTTCCTTCCTGTGGTCTAACAGAGCATCCCACCAGCAGTGGCTCAGCTCAAAGGTGGATGCATCATGGAGAGACAAGTGGACTCAGGGGCATGGATGGAGCCTCAGAGATGCCCAGGATACCCGCTCCCCTCAACTGTACATCTTTGTATTATGCCAAGCTAAATCTCTATCTAAAGAACCATGACAATATCTGAGGCTAGAGATCCTGAGTGCAGAATAATTAATGCTTTTCTAAAACAAGGCTTATGCTCAGCCAACACCACTATTCACAATAACCCCTACAACCTGTACCGGAAGCACAAAGAAAGCTTATAAATAGTGTTTAGAAACAGCTAAATCTTAAGAAGCACAACGGACATCACTGTTTTCTTATTGTCCCCAGCCAAATGCATTTAGAAGAGATTCATCTTGACATTAGAGAGAGCCCACAAGTCCCTGTGAGTGTTTGAAAAAACTTTAACCTTTCCCTAACACTGATTAACATCACTTGCTTGATGCACAGTTTCTCCAGAGACAACTTTCAGTGAACTTCACCATTACAAAGGAAAGATTTAAACAGCCTTTTTCCTTTTGGGAGATAAAGTAATCTTATACTTTAAAGATTCAAAAAGCCTGTGCGGCACTGGATAACCCAGAATTAGTGGCAGAGCACAGCATATCAGCGTGTTCTGCTGATAAAAGCAATTATGAGTGTATCCAAGAGGGCTGCGTTGCAAGAGGATGGAACTCCTGTACTCAGCATGACTATCAGCTTTCAGCTCTGCTTCCAGATACGTCTGTCACCCTAGGAAGCAGCCCCAACTCAGCTGTGACACACCAACCTTCCTATTTCTCTTCCTTCTCACTCTCATCAGTGAAAAGTCCCTCTAGACCATCTGGCCCACCTCCTTCCTGGCACACGACTACAACTCTCAGACTTGCTGATACTACATGTACCTTAATCTCTTCGAAATTTAGGAGACTGAAAATTATTTAAAAACCCAAGAATGCTTTGGGTTTTGGGTCTGGGGTTTTTTTTGGTTTTGTTTTTTTTTAAAGGCAGCCTCAGTCATAAGCGACTGAGGTTTTGAGATCTTTTAACCTGTAATCACATCAACCCCCAGTCATCTCCACAGGAGAAGTAGCTGATAGGATCTTGCCTCGCTCAATAGTTCTCAGGCTGCGGTCTCTAATCCAGCTATGTACTCACTGGTCTCCTGGTGATTCAAACCAAACCACCTTTGCTTCCCACATTACAGACAGAGAAGCATCATCTCCCTTCTGAAACACCTTCCATGAAAAGCTAGTTGACTGGTTTGGTTTTGGTGTGTGATTTGGTGTGGAGGGGAGGGTGGTGTTTGGTTTTGAGGGGTTTGTTTGTGTTTTCGTTGTTGGGGTTTTTTGGGGTTTTTATGGGGTTTTTGTGGGTATTTGTGGGTTTTTTTAATGCACTTTTGGGATGCTGAGGGCTTCAAACCAAATGCAGAACTTGCCACTCCAGTAAAACCAGTGCTGTGCGCAAAGATGACTACCTTTTGCTCCTGGAACATGGGACTACATGCTCAACCACAGTCCAGGGGAAAAAAAAAAGAAAAAAAAAATCTGCTTTTCTAGGCGCAATTCTAAAGTGCTTTTGCATTAAATCCTATTCATTGCCTTAACTAATCACAACATTAATTCCTCTTTTTCAATTGTTAGAAAAGATTAAGATTTAGCACACAACGTTACAAGCATCAGCATTACCTTCTCATCTTTATCTCTGTTTACAGGCTCAAATGGGCTGCCTATCTGGCAGCATACCTTTTGGGCCCCTTAGACACATTAGAAACCTTTATCAACTGCTTAAATTACTGCAGATGTTACAGGCACTGTGCTTGTTATTCACACTGTAATTCTTTTACAGAAGTCTCACACAGTCATCATAAGCCCAAACAAAAATCCCAACCTCTCCCTAACTCCTGACAGTAAAAGAATGAAGGAAATTCCACCCCTATGTGTGTAGCTGCAATAAATTCTATATATCATATTCTAATGTAACTTTAAAATGGCTATAATAGCCTTAAAGTTTGGTCCAATAATGTGTGGGGAAATGAAGGAATGAAAAGCAGATACATATAATATTCTAAAAAACATTCCATTGTTTTAAAATAACTTAAAATATTTAGTTAATGGATTGAGAGTAAAAATAAATGAAGAAACAGGTATTTTAGGTTTGTAGGTTCACCCACAGAAGGGAAGAGGAGGGAAAATACCGTATTGGTATATATTAGTCCATCTACCAGAAAGTTCTATTACTGAGAAATGCCTCCTGACATTTCGTTACATCACTGTACAATGGAAAAAAACATCGCAACACTAGTCTTTGTTGCCCTCACCTTCTCCACATCTTCTGGAAGCATGCAGATGTCCTGCAATGAACGATTCAAGGGTATAGGACGTATGTTCAAAGGAGAAGTAGAACCTGTAGGTAGAACAAGAACTTCATGAGTTATTTCTTTCTCTGCAGCTCCCACAATGCCTGCAGTGTGATTTCCAGAAAGCAAAGCAAACCCCCCTTCCCAAAACTGACCAGCACTGGGGATGGAGGCTGTGGTAGAAGTTAAGAAGAAAATAAATGGGAGGAACACACTGGCATTTGAACTATCCTGGCAACCTGAAACGTAAGTATCAGCTACCAGAGAAACAGGGTTTAAATGCCATGAGACGACAACATCGCTATGCTCCCACCACTAGCCCTCTCCCCCCTACAACCTGAACTGCTGAGGACAACCACAGCTAAAACCTCAGTCTGGGATTACAAAGGTGCTCTGCAGTTAGCAACACAGTCAGCTAACACTGCTGTCTGCTTATTCACAGTACCTGGAAGAAAAAGAAATGTCACTGCTATCTGGGTATGAAGAGATGCACCAGCCTTAAAAGATTCCCTGAGTCACTGCTGGTATTGTGTGACTAGAGCAAGTTTGGGAAAGACTTTGCTGTGATGTTTCCATACCTCAAGGAAATCTCCCTCCTGTTTCCAAATACAACCCAAACTTCTTTGTAATACGTACAATTGGGGCGGACACATTAGCCGCAGCACTCCCTGCTTCCCAGAACAGCAGTTTTGCTTTCCTGGAGTTGGCTGCCGAGTATGATGAGCATGCAAAACAAAGTTCATCTCTTCTTCCCATTAAGAAGTTTTCACTATGCAGCAGAGCAAGCGTCTGGTTTTCTATAGCTGTACCATGGATTGCTTTATATACACATAAAAAAATATAGAGTCACAATCTTCTTCCCCAGAGAACTGAAGGCGTGAGATCAAGCCATCATGTTTTTTTCCCAACTCACTCCATCACTACTACAAGAAATCTTCTGGGAGGATAATGAAGATTATATATGATGTCTGTGGACGTACATGCTAATGAGATATGAAAGGAAATTACTCCTGGTATTTACACAGACTGTTGTTTGTTTAATACCTCTTCTTTGACCAAGCAATTTCTCTGTTTCACCGTGGTGATATTTACTGGATAAAATAGACCATTTCTAAATGCTACCACTACATGTGCCATTTAAAGCTCTTGCAGATAACACAACTTAATCAAAGGCTCTGGGAAAAAAAAAAAGGGCACTCCTAATTTATTTAAAAGTCACTGAAATTATAAAGAGCTCCCACAAAATAGGCACTGGAACAGGTTGCCCAGAGAAATTGTGGATGCCCCATCCCTGGGAGTGTTCAA